TGACATCAGTTGCTTAGCCTTACGTCGCCCTTCCAAGGAATCTCAGGAAGGTGCCGCGTAACATCAAGTGCGCAGTGAAAACCATAACCTTGACATGAACTGTTAACTCAATTACTCTATAATGACAGCTAATGTTGACCTTATTATTAAGTGGTAACATCTGGACCCTCTAGTGAAAAGTCACCCTAACTTGTTTTACTTTATAAATAGTAATTGTCAAAAAAGACTTTGGCAAGTAAATAATAAATTCAATATACAAGGTAAGCTCCTGATGCTATTTATAGTCAAAACCATGCATTTTCAATTTCCTCTCTTTCCCTGCTGATCGTTTCCCCCAACCCTTCTTGAGCCCAAATTTCAGTTCCAAAACCCTAGCAGCCTTCCGGCGACCTCTGGCCGGCGACCCCCCTTGTTGTCCCTCCCTTTTCGAGTCTGTCCAGGTCCACCCCTGCGACAGGTTGACAGCCCCCCTCCCTGATGGTTTCGTGGTGGTTGTGTGTGATTTTTCGGGGAACTAGTTGCGGCTGCCCAGGCGAGCGCGAGGCGTACGGGCGAGTAGAACGGAGCATCACCGGCTAGTGTGTGCAAAGGTTGGCAGGAGATAGAAGGACGCCCGACAAATTTCTGTGACCTCGGGTGCATAAAGTCATATTTCCAGGTTCTTTCCATCGGTAGTTGGTACCTCCCCATTCCTTCTCTTTCTTTATGTTAGTTAAATTGTGGCTATTTAGTTAGCATCACTTTAAGCATATTATTAGAGTATTTGTAGTTGCTACCTGTTATTTTCTAGTTTGGGTCTGTGTTAGTATTTTCCGGAGTTTGTCGTAGGTATAGTGGTTGTGGTCTGGGATGGTAGAGTAAGGTCATGTCGGTGCCGGGGGTGGGGAGGGGGTCAGTGGATGGGACGGGAGGCAAGAAGGGTAAGGGGAAAGATGGAGCTTATAGATTGAGGATCGGGTCGTGGAACATAGGCACGCTGACGGGTAAGTCTATCGAGTTGGCGAAGAAGGTTAATATAGCTTGTGTCCAGGAGACTAGGTGGGCAGGGTCGAAGGCGAGGAATGCGGACGGGTATAAGTTGTGGTACTCTGGAGTTGTGAGGGGTAAGAATGGAGTGGGTATCTTGGTGGATAGGGATTTTAGAGAGTCTGTGGTTGAGGTTAGGCGAGTGAATGATAGGCTAATGTTTATTAAGTTGGTGATTAGTGAGTGCACCCTCAATGTCGTTAGCGCTTACGCGCCGCAAGCAGGCTTGGATGAGGAGGTTAAGAGGCGCTTTTGGGAGGGTTTGGACGAGATTGTGCGTAGTATTCCAACTACTGAAAGGTTATTTATTGGAGGTGATTTTAATGGCCATATTGGGTCGGCTGCTGGTAGCTATGGCGAGGTGCATGGTGGCTTTGGCCTTGGGGATAGGAACGGAGGAGGTACTTCGCTGTTAGATTTCGCTAAGGCTTTCGAGCTGGTGATTGCGAGCTCGACTTTTCCGAAGAGAGAGGAGCATCTGGTTACATTCCAAAGTTCGGCAGAAAAGACTCAGATTGATTACCTTCTCCTCAGAGGTGTGATAAAGGGTTATGCAAGGATTGCAAGGTTATCCCGGGAGAGACCCTCGCGACTCAGCATAGGCTCTTAGTGATGGACATCGGCATTATGATGAAGAGGAAGAAAAGTTATGCCCGTGACCGATCGAGGATTAGCTGGGAAGCTTTAACCAAGGATAAAGCCCAGGAGTTGGAAGGGAGGTTATCCGTTATGGGAGCTTGGAGGAGTAGTGGAGACGCGAGCACTATGTGGTCAACGACGGCGAACTACATGAGGGAGACGGCGAGAGAGGTGCTAGGGGTATCGAAGGGTTTTTCTGGCAGGCATCAAGGCGACTGGTGGTGGAATGACGTAGCCCAAGGTAAAGTGGAGGCGAAGAAGGCAGCGTACGCGAAGTTGGCAGGGAGCACAAGCGAGGAGGAGAGGAGAACGAATAGTGAGAGGGAGAAGGTGGCAAGGAAGGAGGCAAAGCTGGCGGTCACGGAGGCTAAGAATGCAGCGTTTGCTCGTCTATACGAGGAATTGGGGGAGAAAGGCGAGGACAGGAAGTTGTTTCGGCTGGCTAAAGTGAGGGAGAGGAAGGCCCGGGATCTGGACCAAGTAAGGTGCATCAAAGACGAGGATGGTAGAGTATTGATGGGAGAGTCCCGAGATGGCACACGTACTTCTATGGTCTTCTAAACGAGGAGGGGGACTGGGATATAGCGCTAGGGGATTTGGGCCATTCGGAGAGTCTCCGAGATTTTAGGTATTGCAGGCGCATTAAGGTGGAGGAGGTCGTGGGGGCTTTGCGTAAGATGAGTAGGGGTAGGACGACCGGGCCAGACGAAATTCCGATTGAGTTTTGGAATTGTGTGGGTAGAGCAGGATTGAATTGGCTGACTAGGTTGTTCAATGTAATTTTTAGGACGAAGAGGATGCCAGAGGAGTGGAGGTCGAGTACAGTGGTACCATTGTACAAGAACAAAGGTGATATCCAGTGTTGTAACAATTATAGGGATATCAAGTTACTACGTCATACCATGAAAGACTGGGAGAGGGTGGTGGAGGTGAGGGTGAGGAAGACGACGTCTATATCCGATAACTAGTTTGGGTCCATGCTGGGTCGCTCCACTACGGAAGCTATCCACCTTATTAGGAGGTTGGTGGAACAGTACAGGGATAAGAAGAAGGATCTGCACATGGTGTTTATTGACTTGGAGAAAGCGTATGACAAGATCCCTAGGGAGGTGCTCTGGAGATGTCTTGAGGCAAAGGGCGTGCCGGTAGCCTACATAAGAGCGATCAAGGACATGTATGATGGAGCTAAGACTAAGGTTAGGACTGTGGGAGGCGACTCAGAGCATTTCCCAGTTGTTATGGGATTACACCAAGGCTCTGCGCTTAGCCCGTTCTTATTTGCCTTGGTGATGGATGCATTGACACACCATATTCAAGGGGATGTGCCATGGTGTATGTTATTTGCTGATGACATAGTTCTAATTGATGAGACGAGGGTCGGTGTTAACGAGAGGTTGGAGGTTTGGTGACAGACCCTCGAGTCTAAGGGTTTCAAATTGACAGACCCTCGAGAGGTTGGAGGTTTGGTGACATAGTTCTAATTGATGAGACGAGGGTCGGTGTTAACGAGAGGTTGGAGGTTTGGTGACAGACCCTCGAGTCTAAGGGTTTCAAATTGAGTAGGTCTAAGACAGAGTACCTGGAGTGCAAGTTTAGCGCTGAGTCGAGGGAAGTAGGCAGGGACGTGAGGCTTGGATCACAGGTCATCCCCAAGAGAGATAGCTTCAAGTATCTTGGGTCGGTGATTCGGGGACGGAGAGATCGACGAGGACGTCACTCACCGTATAGGGGCGGGCTGGATGAAATGGAGGCTTGCATCTGGAGTCTTGTGTGACAAGAAAGTGCCACCGATACTTAAAGGTAAGTTTTATAGAGTTGTGGTTAGACCGGCCATGTTGTATGGGGCAGAGTGTTAGCCGGTTAAGAACTCCCATATTTAGAGGATGAAGGTAGCAGAGATGCGGATGCTGAGGTGGATGTGCGGGCACACTAGGATAGACAAGATTAGGAAGGAAGATATTCGGAAGAAGGTAGGTATGGCCCCTGTGGATGACGAGATGCGGGAAGCGAGGCTCAGATGCTTCGGGCACGTGCGGAGGAGAAGCCTTGATGCTCCGGTGAGGAGTTGTGAGCGGTTGGCCATGGTGGGTACGAGAAGAGGCAGAGGGTGGCCTAAGAAGTATTGGGGAAAGGTGATCAGGCAGGACATAGTACGACTGTAGATTTACGAGGACATGACCCTTGATGGGAAGGTCTGGCGGTCAAGCATTAGGGTTGTATAGTAGAGCTTTCCTTACTTCATACCCGGGGTGAGGCGGGGTTGGATTAGGGTTGATCTTAGATGGCTTGCAGTTTATGTTGGGTCCACACTCTCCTTGTTGTTTATCTTAGGCCCGGGCCTTAGATACTGGTTACTGTTATTGCATGTCATTTATCTTTTGGTTGTTATGCTTATGTTACTATTACGGTTTCTACTGGAGTTACTAATGAATTATCTTTTCTTGTTTTTTTATTTCTGTCTTTCTGAGCCGAGGGTCTATCGGAAACAGCCTCTCTGCTCTATCGGGTAGGGGTAAGGTCTGCGTACACATTACCCTCCCCAGACCCCACTTTGTGGGATTTTACTGGGTAGTTGTTGTTGTTGTTGTTGTTCTCTTCATGATAAAATCAAGTAATAGAAACATCAATCCAAATAAATTGTGTAGCTACCAACTAGATGTCAAATATTGATTTCGTAATTTAAGCAAAAGATACTTCTATTCAATAATCTTAGAAATTTGAAACTAGATGTATTAATACCTCACCACTTATAAATGAAGTATTTACTCATGAATTTCCTTCATCATACCAAATGACTCATTTACATCATCTTCAATCATAAACTTGAATGTGACTCTCATTACATGCTTACGGATAATTTAACAGTGTTTGCACATTTTGAACAGATGTATTTTAACATATATTTTTCACCTAATTTCATGTCCACTATAAGTGCCATGTCTAAAATTGCCACCTCTAAACCAACTGCTATCCAGTAAATGCAGATATCATTTTATGGAAACAAAGTATTAAACAAGGTATACCTTGTCCAGGAAATATTTAGCAGTATCAGGAAGCAAACGCAGTTCATCCCTTCTCTTGTACGTTTCCTGGATGGCAGGGTCTTTCCAGATTTCGTCTACAACTGGAGCATATTCACGTGTAGCAGCAGGAAAGAAAGTATCCAAATCTCCCATAGCTATGATTTCCAGTAACCAATCAGAAAAATGTTTTACTCTTTGATTGACTGAGTAGATGCAGCGCCTGCTCCCATCAGTTCCGGCATCAACTGAATTAATTTTACAGTATCCACACAATAAAATTTTAGATATTGCCCACATGATATATATCTGTTAAGGAGAGGATTTCCTTTGTGCTTATAAACAACACAGTTGAGCGCCGAGTAGGACAATTCATTTAATGCCAAGGGCTTAGGAATATGCTTAACTTAAATAGCCCTTTGGAATTGTGAAAAACCACCACATAGATTCCACTGGTCAACATATGACAAGCCAACTTTGACATTAAATAAAGGCCATATCCCATCCTTTAAGAACATAACAAGGATGAAAAAATATGGAAATAGGCCCTCAGACCCACTCTGCCCAGTGTATATATTACATAGTCAAATCAGAAAGAAAGCAAACTTAAATTTTCTGGCTATCAGCATTCACCTGTAGCCTGTAGGAAAATGCTTTTCCCCATGTACAAGCAGGTGCAAGGGAGAGAGGATCTATGCCTTTCTTCTAGTTGTCATTTCTAACTAAATGCTTTCACACATTGCTTCCTGCTTATTAAAACTAGCTATCGTTTGCAGGACTTTACTTTTATCAACTCAAAAATAAATTAGGATTACAACCCGAATGGGTGCAACTCAATTCAGCTTACGTTCAACCAGGAAGGAGTGTCTAGAATACCTGGTGAAAGATTTTCCATCTCCAAATCACAAGTTTTCTTATCCATCAGGACCTCCTCCTCAAAGTGCTCTCGCCCCTCGAGTAAGACACTCAGGTATCTATAGATGTTTTTTTGAATGGTAAGCTTGATATTCTGTACCTCTTCAACTGTGAATTTACTTTTAGATATAAACTTCACCTGTTGTATTGAAAGAAGTGAAGGAATACAATTGATTAAGAGCTAATCATGAGATAAAGATTACAAGGTTTGGCAACAGCAGCAAATAGGCAGTTTCCAGGTTCAGACGTGGTAGTCATGCGGGGAAATGACAGAAGCAACTTAATATAAACCATTAACCAAGCATGCTTGATCTGTGTTTCCCTGGAATCAATGTTCCCTACTTAATACTACAGATCCACCAAGATAATTTGAATCGCCGAAAAGAAAACTCAAACAAAATCAACCTGAGCAATTTACCAAGAAGGAAGCTAGCACTTTTTGTTTGAAACTTTGAATATTGAAAGGAAAAGAGTCAACTTCAGTGTGTACATTCAACAAGCTTTTAGTCTTTGAAACTCAATAACATGAATGAAGATAAATGCAATTACTAACTAGTAATATGATGAAATGTTACTAATTTTCACTTCAAAAAGTAGGAAAAAAACAGAGAATCCATAGGTTTAAGCTTTCTTCTCAAAAGGCTACTTGATATATTGTGAGTAATGGAGAAAGGCCCTCACCTAAAGATCATCATAGAAAACTGACAAGCTTCTTATTCAAGAAATTTCCACTAGCCTATCCAAATAACAGAAGATATATGATTTTGTATGCCGACCTGCTTAAAAATGGTGCTTGTCCCAGATCCTTCCAGCCCAAACAACAAAAGTTTCTGCAGTCTACCTTGCTCCAAATACTCAGGTATAGACCTACCTGAAAAAGCAGTCGCATCTTCTTTTGGCCCGTGAATATTTCCACGTGGAACAGGCAATGAAAACAATGAACAAATGAAACGAGTAGATGCCTGCCTAACAAAAAGTACAGCTGTAATTAATTAAAATATAGACATAAATAATTTGAAAAGGATCATAATGTCCCTCAAGTGGAAACTTTTACTTCAAAGGATTACGAGAGAACCTTTCCCCATATGTTTCCTCTAATGTTATTTTGACCTTCTTCCTCATAGGATCCATCATCGTATACCCAAAAGTGAGTACCTCGTTGACATTGAACCTTGGCTAACTGAGAAAAGAGGAAAAGACTTTCAGCACAGATAGCTAGTTTTAGTTCCAGTCTTATAAGACACCATCATCTCTAGAAATTATATCTCCATTGATTTCCAGAATGCGATGTGAACACAGGAATCCAGTATTGAGCATGCCGAAGCCACTCTCATTCAGAATCGTTATTATACTAAAATATATGTTTGAGCAAAATTAATTAGTAGATCATCTACTTAAGGGTATCCTTCAAGATGGAAGATATTGAAACTCCTTAAAAAGATGCAGCCTAGCTTTGCTAATACAATGAGTGGGAGGGTCAGGGCTAAAATGGGTTCACACCCTCCCAGCCTCTCTCGCTTTCTGCAACAATTGAAAAGATGCTACTTGAACTGCATCATTTGAAGTTGCAGGCTTGCTTGTGTTTCGTGGCAGCCCATTACATGAGACAGTCCTAAACCTTCCTTCAACTACAGCACTCTTCAACCAAGCACATAATTCTCGTGTGCATACCCATTAGAATCTTACACGCATCGGAATGATCACAGCTAGCTACCAGCAAAATCCGATTCTGATAATGATATGTCAAGCTTCCATGTCTCAGAAAATAAGTGATACTCCCTCCAATCCAAAATAAGTGATTTTATGGATGTTTTCACACAGATTAAGAAATTCACCTTTTAACATTAATTAGCAATAAAATTGACCATATTAACCTTTACTATCTCACATAAACACTCCTAACACATACTCCAACACTATTTACTCCAAGAGCAATATAGAAAAAAAATAATTAACCCATCCTTGAAATCTGAAAAAATCACTTATTTTGGACCATAAAAAAAAGGCCAAAAAATCACTTATTTTGGACCGGAGGGAGTAATAATTAAATTATTCAGAAACCTCTATGAACTACAGAAACAACAAGAAGAAGATCTGTGGAACAAATCATTTCAGAATCTCTAATCAACACGGAACATCGACTAAAGCTAAAAATATGACATCCATGATAAAATGATTTGATATGCAATGAACTAACTTCAGATAGCATTTCTCAACATACAATTAAATAGAACTGAATATCTAATCGCACGCTCAAATGGAGCGAGTGCATGCACCAGAATATTCTGAATAATCCAATATTTGAATTTATTTTACCTTCAGAACCCTGAGCTCAACTTTTGTAATCTCACGGCCATTGATGAACACTTTCGTATTTCCTTTACTAGCATCAATCTGAAGCTTACCACCCACATTCAGTTTTGAGCTTATTATCCTGTCTGGCTTCTCTCCCTCCTATAAGATAACATGTCAAATCCAATGACTAACAAAATTCCACAAATAAATCATATACACAATACCTATGCAAATTGACAAAAGCACAATAAAAACTGCTGTTACCTTTCCCCAAAGCCCCGAATCCTTGTCATACCAATACTTTCCAGGTCTCAACTTCTGTGGTGGAATTGCACATCCAAGCAACTCTACTAATTCCTCCTCCCGCAATGGCCTCCCATTGACCCACACCTGCTCGGGTTGAATTTGGTTCGCCAAGCACTCACTCTCTGCCTTCATTATCAGCTTAACTTCCAAGGGACTACAGATTTTCGCCAGCAAACGAGAACACTTACCCAATTTTTCTCTGTTAGCCTCATCTATAGGCTCTCCTATGCATCCCACACATTTCCTACCCTCTGGCATTGAGCCCATAGCCTTAAGCAAACAGTTTCTACAGTACCTAGCACCACATACAATGCAAAATTCTCTCTCTCTTAACCTGTTATTCTTCCCACACCTACTACAGACATGAACCCTAGCCTTAACCCCTAGCCTATCATTTTTTCCATTTTTTTCCCCTTCCGGTAATGATTTATCACCAACATCAACAGAGGACGCCGAATTATACTCATTTCTATCTACGTCATCATATTTATCATCATTATCATTTTCATATTCATTCTCTGCAGTTTCATCAGTATCAATAGCCGGAACATCACCGCTATTATTTAACTCCGAAAGAGATTGATCCGTTGGGATTTTACTATCAGATTCCGAGCTGGAATTCATGCGCAGCCTTGAAGCCGAAGACGAACTTCCGCTTCCGCTTCCACTACTGTTTTTCTTCACGTGCATAGTGAATTTGGAATGAACGGACGGTACCTTACGGAATTTGGGAAGTTTCGTGAGGGTACTTTGGGAAGAAGCAAGTGGATCAACTACAGGAACAGGAAAATCTAACGGCGGACCTTTATACTCAATAGCAATAGAGTAGTCGAGTTGTTCTTCGTCCGGTAGGGGAGCTCCGGCCGGCAACATTCGGCGGAGAAGGTCTTGCCAAGCGTCAGAATTGGAACCAGCAAACGGCTCAGTCATGTGGAAATCAGTAGAAGAAAGAGGAAGAAGATTCAATGGGCAATTTGAAGAGTGTGAAATGGAAATAGTGGTGACATGGTTGCTTGCCAAATTGGTTAGGTTGTGTAACTGAAACTGACCTTTTCCACAATTAAGACAGACAGAGAGAAAAGGGATGCAACTGGGAAAGGAAACAAAGGTCGGTGGCCAGGTGGGCGTTCGTTTTGAAAATTTAATTAAATGCATTGGAAATTAAATTACTAAAAGCCGCCTACATGCTCTCTGCGCGTCACTCCTGAGTAAAGCCTGATGCAATTTGGTAACTCCGTTTCTTTTTGTTCCCTTTACAAATTGGTAACTACTACCTTCTCCCTCTCGAAATCTTTTATCTTATGAGTCAAATAAATTCTTTTTACTAAATTTTTGTCAACGAGTATTAGAGCCCGTTTGGATTGGCTTAAAAAAAATGGCTTTTAAGCACGAGTGCTTAAAAGCAACTTTTAAGTGCTGGAACTTATTTTATAAATAATCAGTTGCCTATTTGGATAAAAGTGCTGAAACTTAAAAAAAATTATTGAAGTGTTTGGTAAATAAGCATTGGTAGGCACTTTTTTCTCTTAAAAAGACAAAATATCGCATAAAACAAATCAAGAACCTACATCTTGCTCTTGCTTATTATGTAACAATCTGTCAAACCTCGATTTCTATAAGCTGATCATGACCAAACATAAAACTTGCAAAAAAATTGTTACCATATTTTTTAAAAATGTAAAGCCTTAAATCATGTTTGGGAGTAGTTGGATGTTTTAGGATGAAGAACACGGAAAGTTTGGGAGTAGTTTGGGAAAGAAGAACAAAAAGTGTCGAAGATGAAGGAGAAGAACAAATTTACCGTCGAAGATGAAGGAGAAAAAGAGGAAAGAAGATGAACAGAAAGTGGGAGTAGTTGGATGTTTTAGGATTTATTTGACGAGGGTAGTTTTGGGATTAGTAAAAGTTATAAGGGACAAGTAAGTAATTTCGTTGGTCAAAATAAGATGGCTTTTAAGCCAAAATAGGAGAAGTTAGGATATCCTAACTTGTGGCTTTTAGCTTTTTTTAAGCCTTTTTTAACTTTTTTTAAGTTGTTTTCTTTTTTGCCAAACACTCCAAACATTTAAAAATGACTTAAAAGCTGACCAGCTTTTAAGCCAATCCAAACAGGCTCTTAGTCACAATCTCTCGTAATAACCCATTTTTGTAATGTTTTTTTTCTTCGAATGATACATGATGCTAGTGTATTCATCTGGAAAATAAAAGTTAATGCATAAACGTTGAAATTTTAATACATACATACGTGTATATATATATATATATATATATATATATATATATTGGTATACCATATAGACAACAAGCACAAATTAAATATTTTTCATAAAAAAATTATTTGGATTTGATGTTTCCTGAAACTTTGTACAATTTGGGAAGTAAGGGAGGATCAAACTCTCCGTAGTGTTAAAGAAGTAACATGGGGTGTTTCTTAACATATTATTCCTACAACTAATAACATTCGTTATGGTGCATGTCGATGTGTTTTCTGATAGCAACGTTAACCTAATTGCTAATTACCAAAAAGGAACGAATTATTTGCAGTATATACTCTCTTTGTCCATGAAAATGAAATGTTGTAGTCTTGTAGACTAGGTTGCTTCTTCCCCAAATCAACTCATTCTCTCAAGATTACTTTTATCTCTGTTTCTCGTTAACACACCCAATTAATATTTTCAACTTTATTGCCATTGGGATCTCTACTTTTGCATTCGCAATATGTGTTTTGAATGTTTCCTTTTAATTCGCAATATCTTTTGTATTTCGATTAAGGATTTTAATCGAAATTATCTATACTGAATTCCTGATTATAATTCCAGAATAATCTTGTTTTGAACCAAACCACCTCATTCTTTTTTAACCGTTGTCTGCTGTTTTTCTTAGTAGTATAACATTGCTTCTCCAATTCTGACTGGGCTAGAGAATCATTATTTCCAGTTAAAATCCATAAAAGCTTGTCTTCTGATTATAAGATCCTTGTCTGTGTTATAAATAACGACAAGTCCTTGGATCTTATAAGTGGATCTAACAAATGTTTTTACCGCGCGACAGGACATAACTTCTGGTACTGATATAAGAGTAGCATAAGACAACATTGAGGATATTGGAACCTAGCAAAAAGTTGTGCCTCGGTCGACGTCCCTACTGCATCATATCATATCATATCAATGATATCATCATCATATCTATTCATCTATATCTATATCTATATTATTATAAAAGTATTAATACAATATCGATTTACAAAAATAACCTTATAATATTAAGCATAATAACTCATAATAAAAGGACATAACTTGAATTCTAGATATTAGCCTTATAGTCCTATTAGTTTTAAGACATAATACTATACGTTAGGAATCCTACGTGATTGCCTTTAGGAATCATATTAGTATAAATTGTATACTTATTTTCTCTTATGCAGAGTTTGTATTCGAATTGGCTTATCGTATAAAACTTTCTTTATTAGTGTCTAAAGTTTATCTTCTCTATTGTTTATTATTATTGTTTCTTTAATGCCTAGCTCACTTAGAATAATTACTTGTATGTCTTAATCATATAATTCAAATTAATATAAGTATGGAAATTGCCTTATCCATATTTCGAAAGGTGTCTAATACGTTCCTTTTTTATTTAACTTGAACCCTTTTTAACTATAATATCTTTTATGTTAATTTTTTAAATATTTAATATTTTAAATTAATAAAAAAATTCCTATTAAATTATTTAAAAAAAAATATGCATGAGGTTTAATAACTAATTTTATAAGAATCCTCCATATTGGCAATACATTACCACTCCATAATGTCTAATACCAGGAAAAAATAAAAGTAATGTTAAATAGACTGTATAAAGAGTTGAAATTGAGAAGAAAAAATATCCCCATGATAATATATTTTTATATTATATTTGAACTGATTTTCTACTCAAATAATATTTTTTATGATCAAATATAAAGTAAGAACAGATCCAGTATTCAGTGTCTTCTTGCTTCGTGTCGGAAACAAAGAAGAGCATCCAATAAAAGATGATTTTGGTTCTTCCTGAACACTTGGTTATCAATCACAATGGTAATAGTAGTGTATTTAATAAGAGAAAGATTTCTAACACAATTTGTGCAAATCACATGATAGAATTAAAAAGATATCTTAGCTAGCATAAATGAATATGTTGATCAAATAAATTAAAGGTTGATTGCAATATTTTCTGTTTTTGACTCAGCAAAAAATGATACCAATAATTACTACCAATAAGAATACTTAAATTCTTTAATACCAAATGGCCTTCTACCATACATGTTTGTTGTCAAGTTTATTATTTCTTACATATGTTAGTATCACCGTATATATAATAGACTAAGGGGTCGTTTGGTATGAGATATAAGAAGGTATAGGGGTGGTATAAAAATTAAATACCACCTTAATATTCGGTTTGGTTAGCAAACCAGGTATAAGTTATCCCGATGTTAATTTTAATACCTGGATAACTTATACCTAATAGAAGGTGGGGTAATTAGCACCGATATAACTTATACCTTCTTCTTAGAAATTATGCAATTGTTAGGGGTCGTTTGGTTGGAATATGGCTTATGCCGGTATAAGTTATATCGGTATAAGTTATGTTGGGATTAGTTATGCTGGGATTGTTGTTTATTCATTGTTTGATATGTTGTATTAAGAATGACAATTGCATAATTTCTAAGAAGAAGGTATAAGTTATATCGGTATAAGTTATGTTGGGATTAGTTATGCTGGGATTGTTGTTTATTCATTGTTTGATATGTTGTATTAAGAATGACAATTGCATAATTTCTAAGAAAAAGGTATAAGTTATAACGGTGCTAATTACCCCACCTTCTATAAGGTATAAGTTATACCAGTATTAAAATTAACACCGGGATAACTTATACCTGATTTGCTAACCAAACAGAGTATTAAGGTAGTATTAAATTTTTATACCATACTTATGCCTTCTTATTCCTCATACCAAACGACCCCTAAGTTAAAATTGATCTTCCATTATATGTAGGTTGATTTTGAAGAAAAATATGCATGTCATGCTACTGAAAAACTTAGATATACCGAATAGCTTATGTAATAGCACACATATGGTATATAGAAGTTTTGACAATAACGTCATACATGCAAAAAATATAATACTGGTCAATATGCTTCTAAGTATATTCTTATCCTTGAATTCAACTTTCGTCTTTCGAAACTAAGGAATATCCTTTTAGATTTGTGTGAAAATAATTTTTAGTATGTTTATGTTTTGCAAATATAATAAATAAAGCACAAGGACAAACATCCTAAATATTGGACTATATTTACCGCAATATGTTTTCTCGTACGAATAACTGTATGTTGCACTTTCAAGAGGGGTATCAAGATCGACAACAAGAGTTCTGGTTAAAGCGGAGCAACCAAAGCATTAGGAGAAAATATACACAAAAAAATGTTGTCCACAAAGAAGTGTTCGTTAAGATACCATCACATTAAATACTCTTAAACTATACTACATAATTATCTAACTAATTTAACATGACAAAATTAATCATTTGTGTAAGTTTTGATGATGTCCTTTTATTTTAAATTCATGTATTATGCTAATGTAATAATATTTTCAGTATTTAGATGATTGTTGTATTATTATACATAAAATTATTTCATTAATTAAATTGTATTGTTTCTTCATATAAATAAATGTTTAAATCATCATGTGCCATTATTAACGTGCAACGCACGATCATAGATACTAGTATTTATTAAAAGCACGAAGGTCCTTAGCGAAATATCGTTCACCTTTTTTATCCTTTAAAATAGATTATATATTGGACAAAATAGTAATTTAATTATTTTTCTAATATTTAGGAATGTGAAATCAACTAAAAAGTTGATTATTGATTTTTTTCCTTAGTTGAAATACTATATTGGGAATCCTATAATTTAAAATTTTAAAATTAAAAATTTACCTTATAAAAATCATTCCAAATTTGAACTATTACATGAAACTTTACATCATTAACGTGATACTAAAACTAGAGCACTTTTATGTGCTGTATTTAGAAGTCCAATGCGACATTCAATAGATAATATAAAAAAAATTATTCAGTTGAGTTTTTAATGATTGGTTCATAGGCAAAAACTAACACTTCGGTACAATATTAGAATATAGTATTGAACTTTCTGGTTAATCTATTCTTTCGTGAGATATTTA